GTTATAGAAAAATTATATCATGAAATAGATTAACTTTTGCTTACTTAAATAACAGAATGACAGACTAAAAGCTATGATCAAAGAAATTAAATGTGTCAGTTTTGTAAACTACCAATCTGAAGAGTCTCTCATCTAATATGACATTTCATTTTTACAATTCATAGCCAAGCGTACTTTTTGTCCGAGTTGAATGAATTTATTCAGCCCAACGAAGGTTTTCAAGAATTGTGTCATTCGCTCAGCTCCAATAATCGTTTATCAACGTCTTATTTGCCAAATGAGTGAATTCAAGAATTGAGGTTCAATCCCCTTTACTACCAATTTTGCACAGACTACCATAAAATCGACAAATTGAAGAAATTGAAAATTGAAATATCTGCATAATGCAAATACAATGTCTCAGTTGAAGGTGGAACAAAAGAAAACCCAACTGAAAATATTGTCAAATTAATGCAAAAATCTGCAGTATTTTAGACGTGTCATCTAATCTGAATGTGTAAGGCTTCACATTTTTTACATTATTCTAAGGCTGGAATGGACTGTATCAAGCTGAATTACCTTCTGCTGCTGGGAAATAAAATACTGGCAACGTTTAACACCATTTACTATTGTGTATATCCATTAACAATAATGGCTTACACCTAATAATTGTGATAAAGACACCAAGTATGCAAATTCATCACACTCTGGCCTGTACTTTTATTTGTTCTTCTTAGTTTTACAAAAATAAAATATGGCGATATGACGTTTAGCTAAATTCATCAACTGGTAACGGTGAAACAAAGCGGTTTTAGTGAGAGTTGATGAAACTCTAATGCTGGAATAATATAGCGTCGGTTGCGTTGACACGTCTTACCCAATCATTTTCAAAACAAGTGTTTACGTGGCTTATGACGTATGCTGTGACGCGGATTGTGTAAGGCCTCGAGAGTTCAACGAGCTTCAGGGTTGCTTTTTAAGATTTTTAAGATCAGATACTACTTGATTAAACTAAATATTATTGTTTTAATATGTTGAATGTTTCAACACTGAAAATTGTTCACTATAGTACGAAACAGTGAATGAAAAACTGGAAGTCTGTCAACCAATATTTTATTAATGAAAGGTGGATCTAAGGATCTCAAAAAATTTTAAATTTATAGGACCTCCATTCAATAAATGTTGTAAAGCTCGATGATATCAGGAAGTTGAAGATACTCTGCAATGAAATAATTCAATCGTCTAGCCCTAATAATAGGGAAATTTATCAATTTTTCTTCGTCATCAATATGAACAAAATCACATCTAATGATAAAGAACAAACAGAATATTAAAAAAAAAACATATTTGATCTTCATTAAGATTTGTTATGGTTAATTAATCTCTTCTTTTATTATTAGACAGGGTACCATTATGTTAAGCGCATGTAAGCTCTTTTGTATCAGGCCATGATGAAGAAGAAAAGAAGAAGAAAAAGCTAGGTTAAGTTCGAAGCGCACATTGTAAAATTCTGTCTTGTCATGTTAATTGTTAATATACCAGTTCTATTATTAGAATTAAACAGTTTTGATTCACATTGAGTGCATCATTTCATTAACAGTATTCTATAAAGAAAACACCATATTATTTAATTATTTCCCCGCATGGAGGTTTCAAATTCCTGAACATTCTTTACTTTAAATTCTTTGGGGAGCATCCATTCGATAGAGGACCACTTTGGATAATATTTGGAATTTTCGAAATATGTCTCCTCTATGGCGAATGCAACTGGACTTAAATAATAAAAGTTTTACGTTTCTGTAGAAACTGTAGCCGTTGTTTTGAACACTATTACTATGGTTATATAAATATCGGGGTGGACTGTTTACAGTGACACACTCTGTATGTCTCAAGCCCTTTGCCTTCTGCCTTTCTTTATTTTATTTAATATGGTGGTGCTTGAGGTTTTTTCGGGAGTTCCTGACCTGTAAGTCAAATGGCAGTAGCATTCATCTTTAAGTCGTCCCGGAGCGCCACGGCAAATACAAGTCGTTCGGTCAACTTCAGGGGTTAAAATTCACTCGTAATGGGCTGAATTAGGAAGAGTATTATTATTATTATTATTATTATTTTGAATATTATTATCTGATAAATTTATATCAATAATTGCCTATTAGTTTCAGTAAATCTTTTATTATTTCGGTGCATTTTAAATGCAACATTTAAAATTATTATGACTATATTATTGGTGTAAGTTTCTTTATAATCCCATTTCTAATTAGGTCTTCTCCATTTCTTATTAATACCAAACTTCTGGTATCGCTTTTTGTGGTTTTATCTAATTGAAATATTTTCTTTTATTTTTAATCCATCCGACTAGTCTTTCCGAACTTTGATATGTATCTTTGAAACTATAATTGGGTTAAATGGTTGTTCTCTTGTTCGTGCAAAGTCATATCAGGCATCAGAAAGTTAGTACGTGTAATGTATTTGTCTAGACCAGGTACATTTTCCGATTGAAAGTTTCCCAAGTATTGGATACATGTCGTATCTTATTAGTTTACTCTATTCTCGTGGGATTAAATGTGTTGGACGAAAATAAGGATACAGATAAATTATATACGATCGTTCAGGTCCCGAATTCAACGTCACCGCACATCGTAAACCAATTTCAGACATTTTATTCTAAAGTGAAGGCTACGCGTACATCTGGACACTCAGTACAGCCACTCCTGCACATAAATTAGTGTCTAGTTGATTACCCAAGTGGATCTAGCGACACATGTACCTTCGGCAAACTGATTCTTCATGCTTTGCTGAATCACTGATTACTAAGCTTAAGCCACATTTTGTAATCTGTACGTTGATTAGGCTTCTCCAGACGAGCTTCCTATCCAGATGCATTTAGATATTCAACAGAATTGATGTATTTTAAATGATGTTCGTTTAAACTTAGAGGGTGACCATTGTTGCCACAAGCTTCTCATCGATTCTCAGAGACAACCAAATTCTCATCCACCGTGGTTTGAGCTAAGAAAACTATGATAAACAAAGTCTAAAATAATATTAAATTATTAATACTTACTAATTTCATCATCTTCTTAACCTAAAAATTACTTTGCATATATCATGCAGGTAGAATTACGTTTATTAATTATTTAACTTTTATGTATTGCGTCATGTCAAAAGTTCATCACGATTTAAATTTTTTATACGAGGTTGTCAAATCTTTCTTTAAAATAACCCAGGATAAAAAAATAATGTGCGGCTCATGCGTTGTAAATAACTGTCATCTCATAAAAGTTTCATACTATTGCGATGTTGTCAATGTCGTGTATTAAGAAAAGTACCCTTTATTATTTTATCTACGGACCAATCTTCACTTCGTAACTCAATTTGCAGTACTGACCTGGGAATCCTGAACCATTTGCACATCAAATCTATTGGCGGCCATAAAGGCACATGCAACAATGGAGGCGTTTTATGACCATTCACTTAACCGATAGGTATTCGTCGTAGACATTACTCTCCTATTTTCAAAACGCCTTTGAATCCGCATTTGTCGTTTTATGCTTACCAATAAAGAAAGTAATATAAAATGGTATTGGTTCAATTTAGTTTTCTGTCCGAACAGTTTTTCGTTTTAAAACTAAATAATCACCCTCCCGGGAATCGTGTCGTCCAGGCAATCCTTTTAATTCGTTAGGAAGAAGAGACGAGTGTTTTAAAATTGAATTTAGTGCAATTTGTGTAGGTTTCAAAAGCTCGTGTTGTATTTAGTTTTAAATATTTTTGAATGAAATGTGTTTAACAGACAGTGCAAAAAGCGAGTAGTTTTTCAGTGGCGTATACTTCTTTCATTAGAAAAATATAAAAGAATTATCAACGAATTAAGAATAGACATTTAACTTGAAAACATAACGATTGTATTTAGCAGATCCAATTTTTGAACCTGATTAAAGAAAAGAATAAAAAATATCTACTTAAAATAGAATTTAAAGAAAACAACAAAACAAACTGGCGGTGGGTGACCCAGTGGTTAGAGTCTGAAGAGTCCCGGGTTCGAATGCATAGACAGTGCTGCTCTTTAAGTGGCGAAGGGAACCAGTAACAAGGTTTACACACAATACAAACATTTTTAAAAATAATATTAAACTTAAGCTAATTAGCTAATTGGGAAGTTCCTACCAAAGTTATAACACATGAAAAAAAAAAATAAAAGAAACTAAAAGAAGCTAAAAGAAACTAAAAGAAACTAAAAGAAACTAAAAGAAACTAAAAGAAACTAAAAGAAACTAAAAGAAACTAAAAGAAACTAAAAGAAACTAAAAGAAACTAAAAGAAACTAAAAGAAACTAAAAGAAACTAAAAGAAACTAAAAGAAACTAAAAGAAACTAAAAGAAACTAAAAGAAACTAAAAGAAACTAAAAGAAACTAAAAGAAACTAAAAGAAACTAAAAGAAACTAAAAGAAACTAAAAGAAACTAAAAGAAACTAAAAGAAACTAAAAGAAACTAAAAGAAACTAAAAGAAACTAAAAGAAACTAAAAGAAACTAAAAGAAACTAAAAGAAACTAAAAGAAACTAAAAGAAACTAAAAGAAACTAAAAGAAACTAAAAGAAACTAAAAGAAACTAAAAGAAACTAAAAGAAACTAAAAGAAACTAAAAGAAACTAAAAGAAACTAAAAGAAACTAAAAGAAACTAAAAGAAACTAAAAGAAACTAAAAGAAACTAAAAGAAACTAAAAGAAACTAAAAGAAACTAAAAGAAACTAAAAGAAACTAAAAGAAACTAAAAGAAACTAAAAGAAACTAAAAGAAACTAAAAGAAACTAAAAGAAACTAAAAGAAACTAAAAGAAACTAAAAGAAACTAAAAGAAACTAAAAGAAACTAAAAGAAACTAAAAGAAACTAAAAGAAACTAAAAGAAACTAAAAGAAACTAAAAGAAACTAAAAGAAACTAAAAGAAACTAAAAGAAACTAAAAAAAACTTGAATTTATGTTTAAACTAAGTGGTGAAATAATAACCAGTATTTATATGTTTGAAATATTTTATTGTAAACTGATTACCGCTATCCCACCGCAATTTTACTTCATTATGAATATTTTTCTTTTTTATTCTATTTTTTTCTTTTTAATTTAATTTTATTTTGCTTTTCTTTTTAATTTTACTTTTCTTTACCATTAATTGTAAGCGTGTCAATCTATTTAACTGAATTTAGTTTCGGTGTGTCTATTTCGTCCTTTTGTCATTTTATACTTCATTGTTTACCTTCATTATTTTTTTTCATTACTAATTTACTAGTTCTGTTTATTTTCTTTGATTGCTTTGTCGATTTGTTGAAACAACAAACGTAAGAGTTTCTTTATTTTATTGTCCCTTCTTCTTCGTTATTTTTGTCGTAATTTCGCTGTAGTTTTCTCCATTTTTCTTATTTATAAATTATTTTTGGATCATGCGTTGAAGTAGGTAGGGGTATTTTTATGTATCTTCGATTTCCGTTCATTATTTTTGTTTCGTTTTTTATTTTAATTCTTTTAGTTGTGCTTTATTACTTTTATTTCATTGAGACTTTGTCACCTCTTATATATTTCTTCTCTTTATTTAATTCGTTAAAATTTTTCTCGGGGTTTTTACGTTTTAATTTACTTCTTCTATTAGATGGTTTGTGAAATTATCATTCCGGTTTTTCTTTACATTTACTCTCTCTTTCGTTACATTCTCCTCTTCTTCTTTCTTCTTCACACATCATATCTCTGTAAGTTTCATAGAGGTCTTGCTGTACAGGATATGTTTGATTAATTGTCAAGAACTACAAAATAAATACAAATCGTTATTGTGAATTGAAAGTATGCAATAAGCAACTAATCAATAGCAAAGTGAAAATGTACACGGTGAACAATAATTTTTGAGTAATACCGATGACAGGAGACATAAACTTGAATCGTTTTTGTCTAGAAAAGGCTTAATTTTTTAAATTTGAACATAACGTAACTTCATATGTAGTATTTAGTAGTAGTATCAAACAATAATTTTAATATTTTTATTACCTATGAATTAGTGCTGAAAACTAACAAGTGCAAGAAAGTCACATTTTTAATTTTGATTAATATTTCATTTTATTTATAAACTATGAATCATTATACATGTCAAATACACTAGGATTTAAAATTATATTTTAAAAATAAGTATTTTTGTTTTTTTTTATGAACTTTTTATGAAAGTAAAGTATCTGATAACAAAAAGGTATAATATAATTTGTAAAGCAAACTTAATTTTGGTTATCTACACACTTTTACAACTGTTTATTTATTTTCAAAGCACTGCACTTGCATAGTTATGACAGGTAATAACATAAAATTGTGAAGTTTAAATAAGCGGTTTTGGAGATAAACACTACTTATTTTTAGGTGTTTTACAAACCACAGAAGTATGTATTGCTCGATAATTTTAGTTCCCTGTGTATATTTTATTTAATAACACTTGTATACCTTTATTATATAATTTGATTAGGTACTAATAGAATTTTATTAATATCAAGTTAATTAAACATCATATTAACATATTAATTGTATATTATTTACATTACATTAAACATTGTGATTCGGGTATTCCCGTCTCGGTTTTGGGTATTTTCGGTTTTCCCGATTGGCAATTGTTTCAAACAAATTATTTAAATATGTGAGATTTTTCTAAAGCGATCTGACTAAAATTCTTCCTATTTTTGAAATGTAAACATACATAAAAAAAAATTACTCCAAAAACATTGCTACAATGTTTTTGGATAGGTACAAAATTACACATTGTTTTAATCGATTAAAGTGTTTTTTTGTAATAATTCAGATAGTTTTTGTATTTGTCTTAGTGTACAGTTTTTTAATATTTGTTTTTCTCGGGTTAATAATACATAGGTGTGTGTTTTATAACGTCATGCCTCTAAGAAATGATCATTATTCTTTGTTCGTGTAAATCAACAAGCCTCTTATCACCGTTTCTTTATTATTTACTTATGGAGACTGATTTTTATATGATAATTTTTTTAACCATTTACCTATTAATTTTGGACAGGAGTATTAAAAGAATGTGAGAAAAAGGGGAAAAACTTAACATAAGCAAGCGAAAACTAGACAAAATAAGAATAAATGCAAAAATGGAAATGAAACACTTAAGAAGGATAGTAGGAAGAACTTTAAGTTTGTATAAAGGAGCCTATATTATATCAACTAAATGAAAATTGAGCCTGTACAAATAATAATTACATGTAGCAACATTGTTTTATTTGGAATCAAATTACACATTACCAAACACCTAGTGAAAGCATAATCAACAAAAAACAGGAATGCTCGTAATAATAATGTCGCCACTACGTATATTGGCTACTAAAATATTATTGGCGCTGGTCCTAGATCCGTTCCTGATCATTTCGAGAAATCTAAATAAATAAAACCATTTTCATGCACTGCCGACATAGAGAAATTGAGCCAAATAAAACAGACGCATCATAAATATTTCTACATGAATTTCTACTTTGCTCTAATCAAATCTGAAAGCACTTACCAAAATTAAATCATCAGCTGAGGTATTTTGCATTTTAATCCTTTTCAGATTTTTAAATAAAACAGCGATAGCAGTCATTTAGAAAATTAAACAGGTTTTGAAATAATAATTAACAAATAGCGAATCAAACTGAATTAATTTTGATTAGAACTGTGGTCGGTGAAGTCTCCCTACCACTACCATCATATCTACTGATTACAACACTTTATCTAGTTTATTTTCTATTACATCTCCTAGCTATTTGCCCTCGTATTTGCCATTGTTTTTCTTCTCCAAGTGTATGAATTGCGGTTTTCTCCTCTTTCTGGCATAATAGACAGCCAAGCCAATGTTGTACACATATCTATGATAAGACTTATCTATAGTATTGTTCATATTTTGCCTTAGGAGAAGCCTCGTGAATTTTAATATATGTCCTTAGTGAGTTATTTCACCATTTGAGATTTATTTATAATTCACTGCTTTGTTCATGTTGATTTCGTCATTTTTCAACTCTATACCTACCGTTGCAGGTAGATGGTGTTCATTTCAACCATCTCTAACTGTAACGTGTGGAGTGTGGGTTACCTGACGGTACATAGGCTGCACTAGGCCATTGTGCATGATCCTCAGGTGATAGGCGCCTCCTAGCTTGTGAACCAGCCTACAGATTTAACGTAGTTGACAACGTCGCCAAGAGGTGCTTTTATATCGGCCAGTTTTAGCCGATACTCGCCGAACACAAATCTTCTAATAAATCGTAGAGGATATGCTCGATGCTCGCACCCATTGCCAGAGTGCGGATTCTGTCAGCCCCATAATATGGAGATGTTTCCGTACTTGGCAATGACCAGTCAGAATGCCTGTGATCAGGCGCAAATTCTGTCTGGTCACAGTCAAGTATTTGTTGAGTTCGCTTCTGCTAAGGTTTAGCAGTTGATGTTGTCTGCTCGTGGATGGTCCCTCTATGAATCTTTTGGACTAAGTCCAGGAAGTTCCATCCAGAGCCTATGGTGTTCTCTATTTATTTGTTCCTTTAACACCCATTTAACATGTTGGTATGAGATACCACATGTGGGTTCTGGTCCAATAAGAGTTTTTTCCGCTCCCTTCCTTGCTAGGAGGTCTGCTTTCTTGTTTCCAAATAATCCCTCATGTCCTGGCACCCATTCAAGGGTGACCTTGTTATGTTCTGCCAGGGCCTGGAGGGACTGTTGGCAATCAAATATTGATTTAGATTGTACTTCTACCCTTTTCAGTGCCAGACTCTCTTAGAGATAAGAGGATCTTTATCATGACTTTGGCGCAGGCATTCATTGCTGTTACTTCAGCCTGGAAGACTGTTGTCAGTGACCCTAGGTTCAAACTAATTGTCCTCCCTGAGTTCACATGGTAGATCCCAGCTCCTGTGCTGTTTTTCATTTTCGAACCGTCTGTATACCAGATTGATTCGTTTTGTTTTTCTTTATTTTCCCGGCTTTTGGCCCTTTCTGGTATTTGAATATCAAAAGGTTTCCTGAAGTCGTGAATAATGGGCGTTCTATCCGATGGCATTCTTAGTACCGGATTTTGTTTTAATTTCTCTAATATCATTGTGTGGTGTCCTTTTCTCGAAAATTCCCATCCAAATCCATTAGTAAACAGCCTGTATGCCACCACCACAAGGTGTAGTGGAGGAAGACCTAGCAGTAGCTCCATTGCTGCTGTGGGCGTAGTTCTAAATGCCCCTGTTATTATTAGACAGGTTAGTCTTTGCACCTTGTCTAATGTTCTGTTAGCTGTTATGCTTTTAGTTTTGTGACTGATGAGTAAGTTATAACAGGTACTACAACCATAGTGTATTATACTTGGTTTAAGCCCCCATACGTTCCCTACCATCCGTCTACAGGCCCATAGTATTCTTACAGCTTTTTCTTTGTTTTTTCTATATGGCTGCAGAAGCTAAGCTTCATCAAGAGTGATTCCAAGATATTTAACCTCTTTTGCCATTTTTAGATGTTGTCCCCACATATCTCCTTCATTCCTTGAAGGTTCCTTTTTCTTGCGAATGCAACAACAAAGGTTTTTGTCGGGTTTGTGGACAATCCCTCTTTTAGGCACCATCTTTCGACGATATTTAGTGCCCACTGCATCCTTTCGGATACAACAGACCCAAATGTACCGATTACTATGATGCTTATATCGTCTGTAAATGCTTGCGTGTATAAGTTTTCTCTATCTAACTCCCATAAGAGGTCATCAACCACCAAGGCCACATAAGAGGAGATAACCCTCCTTCCTGCGGGCATCCCTTGTTAACTGAGACCTCTCTTGTTGTGTTAAGGAGATTACTGGTAATGGTTCTATGATTAAGCGTAATGCAGTGGGCTACTCCACGCCTGTGCATAGATCCCAATATTGAACTGTATGAAGCCGAGTCAAAGGCTCCTTCTATATCTAGGAAGACTCCTAGTGCTATTTCTTTGCTTTCCAATGCTTGTTCAGCCTGTTGAGCTAGCCTATGTATGGCTGCATCGCAAGACTTTCCAGATTGGTAGGCAAACTGGTATCGGTGTATCGGTTTATCCCGTAGAACATCGTCCCGTATATATCTATCGATCAATTTGTCCAATGTTTTTAGGAGAAATGATCTTAGGCTGATTGGTCTGAAAGATTTGGTCTCCTCGTAAGACGCTTTCCCGGGTTTGGGAATGAAGACCACTCTTGCATACCTCCAGCTTTGTGGAACAAATCCGAGGGCTATGCTAGCTCGGAATAGTTTACACAGTGGTCCCTCCAGTAATTCCTGGCCCTTTTGTAGAAGTGCCGAATTATACCATCAGGTCCGTGAATTTTAATAGTATTTTTATAAGTCCTGAGTGAGTTATTTCACCATTTATGAGATTTATCATTCACTGGTAGTTGGTGCTCAATTCAACCATTTCTGAAGCTTGCCTTTAGCAATTCGACACATGATTTCTAGTTTTGAGAGAAAATCTGTATAGTATTCATAGTATTTTATGGCCTATAATGATTACTATATTTTATGGTAGTATTTCTGGTTGCTTAACCTCTTCGTTTAGACATACGATACTTTTTCAGGTCAAAGCTTTTGGTCAATATATGCACTGGATAATGGTAACTCAAAAACTCTCAAAAATGAGTTACTATAGTCTTCGTTGCATGAGTCGAATTGGCATATATTCTTTAAAATTGGTATTGTTGTTCGTAGATGATTTCTTCAGGTTCTGATGTGTTCTCCATAGTGCTTTCCACACATCATCATATCTTTAAAAG